AGAGATCCTTCTTTTTTACAGATGCATAGTATTCCTTTGTTTTTTTAAGTTTCACTTTCCAATCATTCACTGCCAGTTTATACAAGTACAGTTGATTTTTGCACATTAATTCTGTATGCTGTCACCTTGAAAAACTCATTAATTCTAGTTTCTTTTTTGTTTCTATGGGATTTTCTATATAGAAGATCATGTCATCAGCAATAGAGAGAGTTGTACTTCTTTATTTTTCATCTGTATGCCTTCCCTCCCCACTTTTCCTTATGCAGAACTTGATTTCCTGTATGATGTGGAATGGAAGTGATAAGAGCAGACATCCTTGACTTGGGGAAGTTTTTCATCATTAAATATGATGATAGTTAGATATTTCATACAAACTCTTTGTCAAGTCTCCTATTCCTAGTTAGCAGAAAGTTTTGTTGTTTTTTTTAATATAAATCAGGAATATATGTTGGATTTTGACAATGATATTTTGAAACTGGAAGATTATCATATGGATGTTCTTTATTAGTCTGTGAATATGAATCACATTGATTTTTAACTTGTTAAATCAACCTTTTTTCCTGGGATAAATCTATTTGCTCATGATATAGTATCCCTTTTATATAATGTTGAACTTGATCTGCTAAAATTTCCTTAAGAACTTTTGCTTTCATGTATATGAGGGATATTGGTCTGAGTTTTCTTGTAATGTCTTTGTCTGATTTATGGTATCAAGTTAGTGCTGGCCTCACAGAATCATTTGGGAGGCATTCCCTCTTCCTCAGGTTTCTAGAAAAGTGAGTTAGAATTGATATGAGTTTTTCTTTAAATGTTTCATAAAATTTGCCAGTGAAAACATCTACATTTTTAGTTTTCTTTGTGAGAGGGTTTTTCATTGCAAATTCAATTTGTTTAACAGACATAGGGCTATTAAGATTATCTATTTCTTCCTGAATGAGCTTTACTAGTTTTTGTTCTATCTTATTTATTGACTTAATAGTCCCTTCTCTTCTTAATAACCATAGACTTTCTAATGATGTTACTTCTCTCATTCCTGGTAGCAGTAAATTGTTTCTTCTTTGTTTTTCTAGTCATTCTTTCTACTGGCTTATCAATTTTCCTGATCTTCTGACTGAACCAACATTTGGACTCATTGATTTTTCTCTGCAATATTTCCTATCCAATTGATTTCTGCTCTGATCCTTAAAATTGTATTCATTCTGCTTACTTTAGCTTTGCTTTCCTCTCCATTTTACTGACCTCTATGTGGAAGCTAATATCATTGATTGGAGACTCTTTTCCTTTCCTCAGATAGGTATTTAGTGTTATAAATTTCCTTGTACTACCTTTGTGGAACCTCACAAGTTTTATATACTGTGTTCTCATGTTTCACTTAGATAACAATTCTTTTAATTTTTCTTTTTGATGTTTTTCTTTTACTTATGAGTTATTTACAAGTGTGTTATTTAGTTTCCAACTATTTGGAGGTTTTCCAGAGATCTCTTATCAGTTTCTAATTTCATTCCATTATCCAAAATCATACTTTATATACTCTGAATGCTTTTGAAATTATTGAGGCTAATTTTACAGCTCAGAATATGGTTCATTGTAAAGGTCTTGAATGCACTTGAGAAGAATATATATTTTGCTGTTGTTGGGTGAGGTGTTCTATAATTGACAATTATTCAAGTTGGTTGATTATGCTGTTTAAGTCTTCTAAATTTTTTATTGACATTCTGTCTACCTTTTCCATCAATTACTGAGAGAGCAGTGTTGAAATA